TGATTCAGATCATCAAACTAATTTTAATATTACACAAAGATAGCCTGAGTAAATACAAAATTCTGTTTTGAAATAATAATTTTTATTTATTAAGGGAAAAAAGCGGTCCGAACCTGACTGGTACTATGTGAAAAAGTAATTTTATTTATTTTATATTGTGTGTACATACACAATATAAATTAGCCATAAATTATGACTATGATTTAAAAAAATATATAGTAATAATTAAAAACCTTAATTTAAAAAAAAAAAACATTATTAAGGAGAGGAAAGCAAACTAACTAAATGTGACTGATTCTTGAAACAATTTGAGAATATTTTTATTACTAGTTGAAGAAAAATAAATGGAGAAGTGAGTCTACCTCAATCAACTACTTTTGTTTGTTACAGGTATTTTTCAGCCTCACATCCACTTCCTGTTAGTGTTGGCCACACCGGTGGATGTCGTGATCCTGGGCTTGAGCTTCCCGAAAGCCCACACAGGTGAGTGTCATGTTTGGATGTGATTTAATCAGCATTGTCACATGTTGGATTCGTTCTCAGTAAATTAGAATTTTTTACTTAAATATTATCAAAATTCGAATTGAAATGCATAATTTCAGTTAGGGTGAAGAAAAGCTTTTGGCTTCTCTCCTGAGGCCACATGAGGGCGCAAAATATTACTAATGCACATTTATTCAAAGCATAAGATAACATTACTGTCTGTGAAAAAAGTGCATAATGTTTATAAGCCAATTATAATTAAGTTGCTTAAACAACTATAAACAAAACAGCATCATGTATGCATGCATAGTTTAATACAAAGGGCCAAAAGCCAATCACACAGAGTACATTTTTCATTTAAAAACACGAGTTGCAGTGGAGAATTTTTTTTTTTACATGGCTTTCTAAACACTCGTTTGTGCGAGTGCAGCAGTGATAGATGTCCTTCTAGAAAGTTCTAGTTCTCTTTTCCCGCAATATTTTTAATTAACAGCGCAGCAGCGCCGCATCTAGTGGCTTCAACTGGATAGGCTAACAAATGCATTATAATGCAACACTACATCGTCATCGCATCTCGTGCGCCACTGATAAGGCTGCCTCCTTAACGCACACCTAAAATTGTGGAATGCGGATTTTTATTTTCAATTCGACGAATATTCGAAATTCAAATTTTTTATTTTTTTTGACAGCCCTAATTCTCAGTCTGCGTTTGTGTGCGGCAGGTCTGAATGACAGCATGTCAGGAGCCATGCAGCTGTTGCCAGATCCTCTCTACTCCATCCCCACGGATAACACCTACCTCCTAGCCATCACCTCCACGGATGTGGGCCGCGTCTTCATGGCGGGGAAAGACGGCTGTCTGTACGAGATCGCCTATCAGGCTGAAGCGGGCTGGTTCAGTCAGCGCTGCAGGAAGATCAACCACTCCAAGAGCAGCCTGTCCTTCCTCATCCCTTCACTGCTGCAGTTCTCCTTCTCCGAGGACGGTAAGAGTGTCCTTCAGCAGACTGAATCAGCCCAATTGATGTTTCAAATTCAATCGTGTCTTTTTTTTCCAGATTCCGTTGTCCAAATTGCTGTTGATAATTCAAGGAACATTTTATACACTCGTTCGGAGAAGGGTGTCTTGCAGGTGGGTCTTCATAAATGAACCAGAGACTGTGGTGTTTGTGATTTTGAGTAGGGATGCACTGAATTATTCGGCCGAAAATAGCTACAAAAGCTCTTTCGGTGTAATAAGCGAAAGGACCGAATCAATTGTACCGAACAATGACGTGACGCGATCTACTAGAGGCGCGCTCTAATGCAACAAACATGACGGCAGTGTGGAAGCATGCAAAACAGTCCGAGAAAGACGCAGAAATCATTACAAGCACCGAGAGAAGGGGTGGTTGTTGCTGTTTACGGTATGATGACTAAAATCGCGAAATGCCTTTAACACTAGAACCGCCGGGGATCGCCATATACCTAAAAGCACCAGCGGGTAAATTTTACCCACGCACATGACAGCTGTTTTTGAATGGCTAAAGAACATATTATTTCAGTGTGTTATGCTACTGTCTTCACAAAGAAGTGTCTAGAGTCATGAAATGATTATGTCTAGTCATTAACTATATTTTTGTCCTGTTGTGTTCAAGGCTTTTTTTATGCAGGCTACACTAGTCACTTTTCATAACGGTCAATATTAAGCTAAACAAGCCTGCACTGACAACGAGAATGAGAAGGTATATTTGGGTGGTGTAATAGCAAGCACCGAGAGAAGGGGTGGTTGTTGCTGGTTACTGTATGATGACTAAAATCGCGAAATGCCTTTAACACTAGAACCGCCGGGGATCGCCATATACCTAAAAGCACCAGTGTTTGAATGGCTAAAGAACATATTATTTCAGTGTGTTATGCTACTGTCTTCACAAAGAAGTGTCTAGAGTCATGAAATGATTATGTCTAGTCATTAACTATATTTTTGTCCTGTTGTGTTCAAGGCTTTTTTTATGCAGGCTACACTAGTCACTTTTCATAACGGTCAATATTAAGCTAAACAAGCCTGCACTGACAACGAGAATGAGAAGGTATATTTGGGTGGTGTAATAGGCTATTATAATACAACGTCATTAATCAATATATTAAGATATGTTATTTAAATTACTAAAATAGCTTATAGACAGTAATGAGCAATAATTATTCACCACATTGCATAGGATGATGCGATGACAAATTCAAGCGCACAGCTTCACCTACTTAATTATTAATTTGTTTAGTTATATCATTTATAATTCGAATTATACAAGAAGACCAATAAACTTCGGGTAATAAAAAAAAGGTTTTATTCATTAGCCTACATCAGATCGGATGTTTTTTCTTCAGGAAACAGGCAGACTAGAATAAATAGCAACATAGAAGCAAACAATAGAAATGGCAAAACAATGATTTTTTTACAAGGCATGTGACAAATTCATAATGAGACTCATTTATTAATCTACTGTTGTCGCCAAAACGAAGCGCTGAGCTCTTGCTGCGGGTTTCTGCCAAAATAAAAGCTGAGAAAACTCCATCAACATGAATAAATGTTGTTATTGTAATTTTACTGGTGTTGTGTAAAATAAAATAAAAAGGATAATAATAATTACAACGGCTCTGTTAATACATTTATTATAGCATTCACACAGTCTTCAGACTGGGATCTGTAATGTTTTCTAATGTTTTAAAAGAAGTCTCTTCATCATTTATAATTTGAATTATACAAGAAGAACAGCAATAAACTTCGGGTAATAAAAAAAAAGGTTTTATTCATTAGCCTACATCAGATCGGATGTTTTTTCTTCAGGAAACAGGCAGACTAGAATAAATAGCAACATAGAAGCAAACAATAGAAATGGCAAAACAATGATTTTTTTACAAGGCATGTGACAAATTCATAATGAGACTCATTTATTAATCTACTGTTGTTGACAAAACGAAGCGCTGAGCTCTTGCTGCGGGTTTCTGCCAAAATAAAAGCTGAGAAAACTCCATCAACATGAATAAATGTTGTTATTGTAATTTTACTGGTGTTGTGTAAAATAAAATAAAAAGGATAATAATAATTACAACGGCTCTGTTAATACATTTATTATAGCATTCACACAGTCTTCAGACTGGGATCTGTAATGTTTTCTAATGTTTTAAAAGAAGTCTCTTCTGCTCAGCAAGGCTGCATTTATTTGTACAGTAAAAAATACATGCCTGATTCAAGAAGGGTTAGGCCAAAAATGGCCAAAAAAACATATTAATTTGAAGTTAAATTGTGTTTTATTGGTGTATATAATGTCTGCTAGAATGTTAAAAAATGTTCAGTGTTAAGTAAATATTTTTAAAGCACATTTTGGCTATTTAATTTACGCAATAGTGAAAAAAATTGGCAAAATTGGGGAAAAAATGTTTAATTTCCCAGTGTTTAATTTCGGTGCATCCCTGATTTTGAGTTTGAGTTGGTGACAGTCTAATGCTGTTTTTGTGTCTGTCAGGTGTATGATCTCGGCGCTGATGGGCAGGGAATGAGTCGAGTCGCAGCCATGTCTCAGAGCTCCATCATCTCAGCGGCTGGAAACATCGCCAGGTAGAGCTTCACCTGGGGATTCTGTAGAGATGCACAGATAGAAAACATCTGGCTAATAAATACATAGCTGATCATTAATATGATCTTACAATCAAAAAGTAAAAAAAAAACGAGTACATATATTTGATTAAATTATTGTAATTATAAATTGAGTATTAATTTGCTTTTGTCATTTATTTTGTATAAATTTAAAATTATTATGTAAATCATTATCTTTAATACATATAAAATGAATTTAAAGTTGTTCTTAATCATTAATGATAATTGTTATTATTATTAATATACTGTTTCTGTTGTACAAATAATATAGAAATATTTTATTAATAATAAAATATTTCTCAATATCTTAAATTTAAAATTAATTTAAAAAATGCAAATATCGGTCAATGCTGATATGGTCACCAATATATTATCTTTCCTAATTAGTGATAAAAATAATTAAATTATATTAATAACTATTGTTAAGAATACATTTTATTATAAAATAAATATTTTATTAATTTATAACGTATGTTAATAATAAATATATCATTATTTTAATGTGAAATTAAATATAAAAAAATCTAATATTCGTTGGTACTGATATGATCACCAATATAATACTCCTAGTTTTTCTTTAAAAATAAGTATTAAATAATATTACTAACAACATTATAATCGAAATACTATTTTATTATTTAAAAAATGTCAATCTTTGTTGAAAATTGATTAAAAATGCTAAAATTGGTCAATACCAATATATTGTGCACTCCTAGTTTTTCTCATTTCATTTTATTATACAAACAAAATTTGTACATTATTATTAATAATAATCCATTTATCATCTTTAATAAATGTAACATTAATTAAAAAAATACTAAGACTAGTCAGTATCGATATGGTCACCAATATGTTGCATGCACTCCTATTTCTTCTTAATTACTGATAAAAATTAATGTTATAATTATTTTATTATAAATATGTGTTTTATTATTAATAAAAATATTTTATAAATGATATTGTTAGTCGCAGATATGATCACCAATATATCGTGCACTCCTGTTTTTCATGTTTAATAAACATTTTCCGGTGTAATGCATTTTTCACTTCAAATGCGCCTGTTTTTCAGGACGATCGACCGCTCCGTGTTCAAACCCATCGTTCAGATCGCAGTTATTGATCGCTCGGAGTCGTCAGACTGCCAGCTGTTGGCCGTCACTCATGCTGGTATGATTTATGAATGGAGACTCATGAATCCTGGGTCTGTAAGTCCTCTAAATTGTGTTTTTGTGTGTGGTGCAGGTGTGCGTCTCTACTTCAGCACCATCCCTTTTGCTCCTCCAAACGCTAAAGTCGCAGTTGCCTTTTGAATTTTTTTCATTCTGTGGCGAAACAACACTCTGACATCCGTGTTTTTGTCTCTTTCTCCAGATGACGGTGAATGTGGACGGTCACTCGTGGGCTCTGTGTTCAATCGAGGAAACCGAATCTCCCAGAATCCTCACTCCTCTCAATAAAGATCTCATTCCAGTCACTGACACTCCTCTGGTCGTTCAGCAGCACAGCGTCCCACCGCAGAAGTTTGTTCTCCTGTCCGCTCAGGTATGATTGATAGTGGTCGACCGATATATCGGCCGATATTTGGCATTTTTCACATATCGGCCGATACGTTTTTCTATTTGGCCGATGCTTTCTAGGTGGGACTTTTATTTTGACGGCGCTGGGAACGGCAGCGCCTGAGCACAGTGCTCACTAGACTTGTGCCGGTGTTCGGTAATGCGATATATCACGTAATGAATATGCACGATATTGTTACCGTGGACACTTCTAAATACCGTGAATAATTATATATTACAAATTATTCAGAATTTTGAATGCATTTTAAGAATACTTTTCCCATCAACTGGTCAAAATGGACAACACCGCTGTATGC